AAGGAATTGGAAATGTTGTCATAAAGAAGAAAGATGGATCACATGCAATGATAGAGAATGTTTTACTTGTACCAGCAATGAAATGCAACTTATTGAGCCTCAGCCAATTGGTAGAAAAAGGTTTTAATGTGGTTATGGGAAATCATGATAGTCTGTAGGTGTTTGACATCAACAAGAGACTAATATTGAGAAGCAAGATTAGTAAGAATCAAACTTTCAAAGTCTGTATGGATACAATAGGAAGTTGGCGTTGTTTGTCCACTGTGGAAGATGATGAAACCTGGAAATGGCACTTAAGACTTGGCCATTTGAATTTCAAAGATCTAAGACAGCTAAGTGAGAAAGGTTTGGTTTCTGGAATATCAGATATCAGTCTACCAGAAAACGTATGCGAATCTTGTATTATTGGAAAGCAAACTAGAAGATCATTTCAACCAAGATTAGAGATGAGATCCAAAGAGTGTCTTGAGGTGGTACACTCCGACATATGTGGCCCCCTGGAAGTGTCAACCTTGGCTAGAAATAGGTATTTTATTACCTTCGTTGATGAATTTAGTAGAATGGTTTGCGTGTTTCTAATAAAATTGAAGAGTGAAGCGCTTGATGTAAGACCCATAGAAAAATCAAAATAATTTTATGAATATTGTGGTTTTGAATAATTAATTATGGTGTGCATTCATATGTAAGATAAAGATTATTGTTTGTATTTTTTTACCATTTTGTTTAGCTTGGTTTTTCTTGTGTTAATTATTTAAATTTGATGCAATTTGTTCTGGCCATCTTTGGTTAAAAGGAGGGACATAATTATAAATTAAAAAAAAAATAAAATAAATATTACTACTAATATGGAAAGAAGAAGACAATATTGAATCATGGAGGTTGATGATTTCCGTAAAACATGGGTGCATGTTTTGGTAAAAGGGGACCCATCCCTTTCAATTGTTGTTTTTCTTTTCTTTGCATTGTATTATTGCAAGCAGCATACGGGGATGCTTTATTCTTCTTTATAAAAACTTATTAAGGCCATAAGAGAGGAGGAAAAGAGAAGAGAGATTTAAGTTAGAATTTGCTTTGAATTTGAGAGTGAAATCAAGCAAAGGTGTGGTCTAGGAACATCAAGAGTGAAGAATTTCTTGCAAGGAGAAGAGGTAGGGGAGCTAATCCTTTCTTGATTATGATCATGAATATGAGTATGCATGTGTTAAAATTGGTAATGGTAGTTATATATTGACTTGTGTAAAATTTGGTTTTCAAGATTATAATCTCTCATTTTCGAGTTACTGTGGTGAAAAATTTCTATTAATTGTTTTCACCGTTGGATTTAGCTAAAATTTTAGTATGTGAATCCTAAGACCTATTACTAAACTTTGACCGTTCGGATTTGAAAATAGAAGTCTGTAATTGGAGAAATAAGTTCTGCAAGATTGAGTAAATTAGTTACCCCTGTAGTTCTGTTACTGAGTTGTCTCGGTATAATATTGATTCTGACCTATTGGACCGTTAGATCAACCTCAAAATTTGATATATGATCCCTAAGACATATTAATACACTTTGAACCGTTCGGATTGAATTAGTAGTCTGTACTTGGAGATCATATATCCTACAGGTTTGAGTGAATTAATTACCCTGCAGGTTCTATTACTGAGTTCCCTTGGTAAAATATAGATTCTGACTTAGGGACTGTTAGATCCAACTTGAAAATTGTAGATTGATTCTAGAATACATTATTACCGTTGGACCGATCGGGATTTGAATTGAAGGTCTATGTTTAGAGAAAGAAATTTCGAAAGTTGAAATATTTGATGAACACGCAATTCTGTTCTTAAGTATTATGGTAAAAATTTCATAGATATTTCATTTCCGTTAGATTGAGCCCAGACTTAGGATGTAGTTCATAAGACATATTAAGTGATCTTGAGCGTTCAGATTTGGAATAGATGTCTGAGATTAGAGGAATTCATTTAGCATTTTGGAGTTAACCGAGAACCACTTAAATTTCTGTCTCTGAGTTACCTCGGTAAAATCTATATTACTTAGATAACGGTTTTTTAGGATTAATCTGGAATTTAGTATGTTGATCCTTTTAAAAAAGAGATAGTGGCTACTTCGACCGTTCGGATTTTAGATCGGAGTTACAGAATTAGAGATAATTAATTTCGTATCTTCGAGGGATCTCAAATTGTTAATTTATGTTTTGGATCATTTATACAAAATTGATGATTTTCGCCGCATTAAACCCTTGGAGATGGACTGAAAAGCTTACCATATGATCTAAACATGTTGTGATTAGTTGTGATTGTTCCAGAATAGTCGATATAAATAATATATTGCAAAGTTAATTTGGTAATTTGTGCTTAAAAAACCCCTTGTTTTGGTTGAAACAAAAAAGTAGGCCAGAATTGAAACTGGATATGTTGATTGAGTTATTATGTACTTGGTTAAGCATGATTGGTTTGAGGATAGTGGTTGAAGATGGCATGTGATTGTTATAATAATATGTTAGGAAAATGTATTTGGTTAATTTGTACTACATTGGTTGAGACAAAAAAGGGGAATGAGAAAAGTTCACAGTTTTCTTATGCTTGTTGGAGTATGATTAGTTTGGATGGGTTGTGGTTGATTATGAATAATTTGTTGAAATAAGGTAAATGATGTTGGTTTGCGCTACTGTGGTAAGTAGCGATAGATGTTGGGTCTGCGTTACTTTGTAAGTAAGCAGGGTGATTTGCGCTACTTTGATAAGTAGGCAGGATGAGCTGATGAATGAAGAGATAAAAAGAACGAATAAATTGTGCTACTTTGATAAGTAGCAGCTTAACTATACGTGCTATGTGGTAAGTAGACAGTATGTCTTGCGCGCTACTTTGGTAAGTGGAGAAGAAATTGGTTTGTGCTACTTTGGTAATAGGCAGAAGATCTTGTGTTGTGCGACTTTGGTAAGTAGACTATCACCTTGTTGTACTACTTGGTAAAGTAGATAATAAAAAATCACTTGTTAGATTACTTTGGTAAGTAATCAGTATATCATGGTTATACTACTTTGGTAAGTAGACAGAAGGATTGTTGACTGCTGTGCTTTGGTAAGTAGGCAGATTAATAATATGTTGTATTGACTCTAGTGAATCGACTGATGATTTTGACTGGAGAAATATTATAAAGTATCAGTGTAATAGTTGGTTTTTGAGTATGTTTGAGATGCATGTATTTGACTGATTTACCACACTTGTGATGTTAGTAAGATTGTGGATGATGTATATTTCTTGAATCGGTTAGCTCACCCTACTGTTTGTGTTTGTGCATGTGAATGCGATGATCGTATAATGTGTGATATTATACGGGAGCAGAAACTATTTCAGATGAATTAGCAGATGGTTCTGGACTCGCTTAGAAGATGAGAGATCTGTGGGGAAAAGGAGACATGGGGAATTTCTAAAATAAATCTGTGTTTGAATTTCCGAACTGTGAGAAATTTTAAATTTCAGAAGTTTATGAACTGTGTGGACTTTTATTTTCAGAAGACTTGTGCTGTAATAAAGAACTTAATATTTTATGGGTGTTGAAATTTGTTAAAGAAAAATTATATATGTATTTTGTGGAATATTAAATTGTAACGCCTAAATCGGGGTGTTACACTTGAGATATTCAAAAGGTTCAAAGTTAGTGTAGAAAGGGAGAGTGGAAAATCAATTAAGGTGCTTAGAACCGATGGTGGAGGTGAATATACATCTCATGTGTTTGAGCAGTTCTATCAAGACAATGAGATTACTCACGAAGTAACAGCCCCCTACACTCCGCAACATAATGGCTTGGCAGAGAGGAGAAATAGAACAATCATGAATATGGCCAGGTGTCTTCTGAGAGAGAAAAATGTGCCACGAAATCTTTGGGGTGAAGTTGTATCAACAACTGTTCACATCTTGAACAAGTGTCCCACCCAAAGACTCACAGACAAGGTGCCCTTTGAAGCTTGGACAGGTATGAAACCTTCAGTTAAACATTTTAAAGTGTTTGGATCCTTGGTTTTCAGTCAAGTTGCAGATAAAAGAAGATCGAAGTTGGGAGATAAAGGAGAGGCCATGGTATTCGTAGGATACCATCCAATCGGTGCGTATAAGCTCTACGATCCTATAAGAGATAAAATGGTATTAAGTAGGGACGTGATAGTTCTAGAATATAAGAATTGGAACTGGAAGCATGGAAAGACAAACCTGAAGAAGATATCAATGGTGCATGGAATCACAGATGAATCTATACGAGCTGAAGAAAATTCTGCAGATGTTGCCAAAAGTGAAGTAAATCTGGGGAATACAGCACAGAGACCAAGGAGACAATCTGTGAGACCATCGAGGTTTTCAGACTATGAAGTCTACTCTGATGCAGGGGTAAATGATGAAGGAGATCTAGTTCATATTGCTTTGCTGGCTGGATCAGACCCAATAACTCTAGAAGAAGCTTTGGTACAACCAGTCTGGAAGAAGGTGATGATTGAAGAGATGAGATCAATAGAGAAGAATAAGACGTGGAGTTTGGTTGATCTATCACCTGGAAAACATAACATTGGAGTGAAGTGGGTTTTTAAAAAGAAGCTTAATCCAGATGGCACCGTAGCAAAGCACAAAGCTAGACTCGTGGCAAAAGGTTTTTTGCAAAGACAAGGGTGGATTTCATAGAGCTATTTGCACCTGTTGCAAGGTTAGAAACAATTCGATTGGTAACTGCTATTGCTTGTGCTAAACGATGGTCATTATTCCAACTTGACGTTAAATCTACTTTCTTGCATGAACCTTTGGAGGAGGAAGTCTATGTTCAACAAACCCCCGGATTCAACAATCAGGACAAGAAAGAGCAGGTGTACAAGCTCCAGAAGGCCCTCTATGGCTTGAAGCAAGCTCCGAGAGCGTGGAACAAGAAGATTGACGCTTTCTTCATTGCTCATGGGTTTGAACGATGTACTGTGGAGCATGGCCTTTATGTAAAGGAGAATCCTGGTGGTGAAAAGATGATTATTTGTCTGTACGTTGATGATCTACTGGTTACCGGTTCTAACTTGAAAGAAATTGATGAGTTCAAGAAGATGATGGAGGTTGAATTCGAGATGACAGACCTTGGGAGGCTTAGCTATTTCTTGGGAATGGAATTCACTCATACAGCTACAGGACTACTGATGCACCAACAGAAGTATGTGAAAGAGTTACTGGAGAGATTCAAGATGATCAAATGCAATGATGCTAGAAGTCCACTTGAAGTGAATATCAAGCTAAGGATAGATGAAACTGAAGAAGGAGTGAATGAAAAAACTTATAAACAAATAGTCAGATCTCTGCGGTTTCTCTGCAACAGCAGGCCAAACTTGATGTTTAGTGTTGGCTTGATAAGCCGTTTCATGGGCAATCCAAAGAAGAGTCATATGAGTGCTGCCAAACGTGTACTGAGATACATTAAAGGAACTACGAGTTATGGAATTCTGTTTCCATATGGAATGGAGAAGAATGAGTTGAAGCTTGTTGGCTATGCTGATTCGGACTATGGCGATCAAGTTGAAAGGAAGAGTACCTTGGGGAACATTTTTTTCTTAAACAAATCACCTATCTCGTGGTGCTCTAAAAAGCAATAAGGTATTGCCTTATCTAGTTGTGAAGCGAAATACATAGCTGGTTGCTATGTTGTATGCCAAGGAATTTGGCTAAATAAAGTGTTGAAAGAATTGAGAATACATGAAGAGGGTTCTGTGGTGTTGAAGATGGATAACACATCTGCCATAAACTTGGCAAAGAATCTGGTGAGCCATGGAAGAAGCAAACACATAGAGATAAAATACTATTTTTTGAGAGACATGGTGAACAAAGGAAGAGTTGAAGTAGCTTACTGCAAAATTGACTTTCAATTGGCTGATCTATTCACTAAATCACTCAAGTTTGACAAATTTGAGTTTCTTAGAAAGGAGATTGGAGTACTACTTCTTGACTACTTTCTAAATTCTCTGCACTATTTTCTCTCAGTTTTCTTCTACTCCCTATCAGTCAAACCATATAAGGGATTGACGCCACTCTCTACCAAAAACCTTAAGGCAATGGGTCTTTCACCTTTATATAGGTGAGTCCCTTCTACATAGGTACACTCCCACCAACCACAACCATGAGTAGCCATTTTCAACCATAACGAAACTTACTTACCTGAATACCCTTTGCTAGGAAGACTTTCGGTATAACTCTGTTGGGTCTATCGAGGAGAGGGTTTACAGGGGAGACATAAGCACCAATGACATCTGAGTCAAACCATATAAGAGATTGACATCACTCTCTACCCAAAACCTTAAAGCAATGGGTTAATGAGTCTTTCACCTTTATATATTGCTCTACTTTCTCATTTCTATCCAATGTGGGACTTAAACTTAATTTGGATTCCCAACATAGGTTACTTTAGAACACAAATAAGGTTCTTCCTTACAACTATAAAGGATATGAATGTCATGAGAACTTGAGTTTTATACGTAGAGTTTTGCCAACATTCCTTTTCAAAAAAATATTTTATACGTAGAGTTTGAGATGAAAAGAGTCGTTGTATATACTTTGTTTGTAAGGATACCTTATGTTGCTTCTTCTACGTCTAAGCACGCTTTAAAGCTTCAAGACAAATTAAATTATCCTAACTTATCATTGAATACATGTGACTTCTTTGACAATACTTTTAGAACGTGACAAAACTTCCTATGCTAAATGACTTCTCTTTATCTGTTGAGCAAATTGTAGGATGTGACGCAATATACTAACTTCCTATAAAATAAGCATGTTTTAAAGTTTCATGTGTATTATGGAATGCTTATGGCTTGATTCTATCAAATGAAGTATATTATTGTATGCTTAACAAAAATTTATCAGATGCATGTGTAGAAAACTTTGCATTTATAAGATGAAACACAATATAAAACTATTTTATCCTTAGTTGTTTAAGCATACAATCAAAATCAGCAAAATGTTTTTTTGAACTTGGATTCAACACTTCTTAAGAAGTATATTTTAAACTCAATTTTACAAAACCAGCTTGTAAGTGAGATTTGCACCTACTTATATATTTTAAACTCGTCTTATCTCTAGTTTATGTGAAATCTCTAACATACGCCCTTCATGCTAAGACACATACATATCAAGCGTGAGATTATACATTAAATGATGGTTTGATAATAACTCAATAAAAGGTAGCATGATAAGGTTAACAAACTACAAATCTCATTAGCATAGACTTGAGATGATTTTGATATTATTTTAAGAAGTGAACTTTAAGTCTAATTCAATTTTATAAAATATTAGTAAATATTGTACCATCTTATGTCTTGTAAACTCCTCTTATCTTTAATTAATTATTGTCAGACATCCAACAACACTCATTTTTATACACATTGGATTCGTTCTTAAACATTATTACTCTCAAACATTATTAAATGGGTTTGAAAGGTTGTTTCTTTTTTGGTTTATTGATTTAGGAATTTGAGGGATGGGAACGAGAGTCTAAAAGTGAAGGGCATACAATTTTACAACAAAATGAGTTACATATAAAGTTGACATTGCTTGTAGATGCAGATAGCAGAGGTTGGGAAATCCCTAGGAACAGTCATTGTGTTGGATACAGAAATGGTAGTGGAGTAATAACCATGCGATGATGGTTATGTCATGTTTGAACTTTTAGACGACAAAAACGGTGCTGTTGTGGTGCATTTTAATGATGAAAAGTTCTTTGCTCCATTGGAGCATTTGGATCATGACCTAAAGAAACAAAAATAGTGGCAGTTAGTTTTGGCATTCAGGTGTTCATGGCAACACTTGTATGCATGTGTGAGCCTCTATATAATTACTTTTGCATCTTCCATAGCACGCTTAAGGGCCTATTCCCTTTTTGCCCCTTTCTTCACTTTCCTCTTTCTCATTTTCAAATAACTCCAATTCTACTTTCTATCTTTTTCTGTTTGTCTTAATCCTCTTTTTTTTTTGCATAACTTATGAATCAATCTAACACAGTCACTAAAGTTATAATCAAACAATCACTAAAAATATATAGTTATTTGGTCCAACTCCATTCAAAATTAACTTGACTTCTCAGATAAATTATGGTGGAAGAGACTTTGTAGTATGAGTTTAATGATTATGTAAAATAGCTTTTTACCGTATTTCAATTGCATAAATTAAAATAAAGCATTTACGTGTCATAAAAGCTTCATCTTATTAATTTTGTAGGTTAAAATCAAGTTTAAATTCAAATTATAAGATGACATACAAATAATCTATTTTAATAAATTGTTAGATTTTTCCAATCTTTCGTTATTAAATCAAGAGTTTGAGATCTCATGTTAAATCTGTTTTTTTATATTTAAATAAATAATTTTGCATTAATTAATTTTAGAAAGATTAATTTTACATTAATTTAAGAGGTGGGTAAATTTTGTTTATTAAAATAATAGAAAACTACTTATTTTAAACATAAATAGATTAGAGAAATAATTCTTATTTGTGATTCAGAAACAGTTCCTTTTTTTATGTGAAGATGAGTCAATAACAGTTAAATTAAGTAAAATATGAGAGTAATTATTTGAATTTAATTTGGTTGAAGCGTCATCAGAAGCAACCTAATTAAACTTGATTGTGGGGCCTTTTTAGCTTGAGATTTCCGTAATCTTTTTTACTTCTTGTGCAAATCCTATATTAATCTTTACCTTAATCACTTTATTCCTAAGTATAAACAAGGTACCTACAATTAGCTAATCAAAGGTTTCCGTGGCATCAAATAGACAAAGGAATCTCACGTCATCATTTTATGGATCCTTTTTTGCCCAAAAAGAAGGATGTCAAAAGAAGGAAAGAATATGTTTGTTGGTTTTGCGCGAAGAACGCATTAATGATTCTAATTTCTTCATGGGTGTTCATGTTTTTGTTTCTACAATTGATTTTCAATTAAAGTTAGTACTCATACAGAAAGCTGATTGTAATATTTTTTGTGACATCTGAATCTAAGATTTAACATAATGTCAAACATTATAGTGAACTAACAAAATATCTCTTTCATCTTAAATATCAAAATGAAACATTTTAAATATGCACATCATTTATTTTCTTCATTCATTTGTTCATTAATATTAGAAATTAAAATATTAGTCTAAGTTCTATTTAAAATGAAAAAGTTAAACATTATATAAAAATTATATATAAATATTCATTATTTTGAGGTTTTAGATTGATGAAATGTCAATTATTCATGTTAATTGAATTCATATGTCATTAGTGTTGTGTTTAGTGTTTTTTTTTAAAAATTCATCAATAAAATATAATAATGAAGTCAATTTTCTTCTTTAGTTTGATGGTTTCTGTGTTTATATTGTTTGAATTTTTACTATTTCAAAAGGAAGTAGAATTTGAGTACTTTAAAAGGTTTAAGTTTAGATAGTTAAAATTTTTAATATTAATTGATTTTTCTCGAAGAATGTATGCACAATTAATGTTGGGTTTGTCTCTAATAAATGAAACCTCAATTTGTATATGATTTTACCTATACATTTTCATTGTTAAAGTGAAATTTATATCTATTTATATATTGTAAATCAACTTTATTTTTTTAGTTGACGTGGATCTCCAACACATACCTTACGTTGAGATATATACATATCAAGTGTGAGACTAAACATTAATAAATTGTTTGATAACTTCAACAAACAACAAATCTTATTAGGATAGGTTTTAGATAATTCCGATATCATCTTAAGAAGTGAATTTTAAGTCCAAATCAATCCTATAAAATCTATTTCATAGTTTTGAATGACTCTGATACAATTTAAAAAAATAACTTTAAGATTAATTGAATCATACAAACCCAACTTATAAACTAAGCTTTGCACTTACTTTAAAACAACTTTAAATTTGTATTATCTTTAATTAATGGGGGATCTCCAACACTCCATACTCATTATCATAATTGAATTAAAATACATTAAAGAGAAGAAGTGGCATATAGAATTGATAATGATAGGTTTGATCTTCTTTGTCAATTAGTACATGTGTGTTGACAACTTAAATGTGGGAGATATTTTGATGAATGACCTATGTGAGCATGATTTTGATACAAAAATGATGTGTGAGAACACAAAAACATAATTAGCAGCATGATAACAAAAGTACTTTGTGTTCGTTATCATAACCATAAAGTCATGATAAGGTTACCACCTTCCACAATATATATACTATAAGCTTTGCCTCCACATTTTTTTGAAGGTGAACATATTTACAAGAATCCGTAATTAATATGAGAATTAGGACTTTAACGAGTATCAAGTCATGAATTACTTTATAAAAATATTTGACGTCATTTTAATGATGAACTTCTTTTTACATATTAATTATTCATCTTTCTCATGTTCACTTGACTTAAAAAACTTACTCCAAACTTGAATTCTATGCAATTTTTTCATCAAGTGTAAATTTCAGCACCTCCAAATATTTTTTTCACAATTTTTTCTTTTAAAAAATTTTCATAAATAAAAATAAGAATTAAATTGTTTTTATTTTAAACTTTGATACATTTTCGTCTCTAAAATGAATAATATAGTCCTTTTAATTCAACCACATCAATTTTTGTAGGTGTTAAACAATGTTTGACGTTTATATTTGATTTGCTTACATGTTATAGTTCTAACGTCAATTTAAAATACTATTTATCACTCATAAAAGAAAGTTGAGTATTTGGTTAAAAATTTACATTGATTATTTTTTAAATTTGAAAATCAAAATATATTAAAATTTAAAATAAAACAAAAATACAATTTCGCATTTACCGAACCTAAAAATAATTATTGAATTTCTCACACTCTTTTCTTTGAAGTCACCTTGGCATACCAACTTCGAATTATCCAAATTTGAGAATGAGATGAATTTGATAATTTGACATGGGGTTAACAAGGGGGAAATGCGTACTGTTTTATCTTTGCATTTCTTTTTACTGAAAAGGTGTCCCAGGAAACCAAGATTTGATTGAAAAGTTTACTCATTCCTACCAGAGATGTATGTGTTGCGTTACGTAAAGGACTGAAAATCATAACTTGTTCCGTTTATCTAACAATTCAGATGTCATAGATCAGAAGTGATGAGAAGTACCTTTTCAACCTCTTTTCTTTTATCATAAATAGTGTTTTCTCACTCAAAGAATCAATGTATTTTTGGGATGATGTTTATACATTTGAATTTAGATAACCCTAATTTTAAATACTAAAAACAATACAACACCTCAAACT